TTCAAAAACTGGAAGTCAGCAATTTTCCAATTATTAACCAGGGAATAACCTATCATTTAATTTGAACATAGTAACAAGGAATGGAAAGTAGTAAATGTGAACCTTTTAAAGAGCTCCTGGAAAACTACAAACCAGCCAGTCTTATTTCCATACTGAACAAACTGGTAGAAGCAAATAGAGAGTAAAATGATTAGATGCATAAATAACTATAATCATAATGCTGAAGACTCAACATATTTTGTGGAAGCAAGCCATGCCTCAAAAGTCTCTTGCAGTTCTTTGATGGAGGCAGCAAGCACACAGATACATATGATCTGCTTGATGTTGGCGACCTGCATTTTCAAAGAGATTTTGACACGGTCATTCAGCAAGGACTCTTAGAAATATGATATGATCGTGCAGTACAAAAGAAGGTCTTCCTGAGGAGCAACAGTTGATTAAAGATGGGATACAAATGCTAGCAATAGTTTTAATTTACCCACTGGAATCCCACAAGTTTTTTGCTGGGATCGCTGCTGTTCAACATATTTAGAAAAGGCCCGAAAAATGGTAGAAACAGTCCATGACAGAGCTCATGACAAAATTATTGTGGCTGGTCAAAAGGAAATGGAATAATCAGAAGCTGCAAGAGGATCTTGTGGTATGGGATAAATATGTGACAAAACAATAGACAAAATTCAATGTCAATAAAGTCAAACTATTGTAAAACCCCCGATGGTCTCTGCACATTGATGAGTTCTCGGATATTAACACCTAGGAAAGACATCAGTGTTCCCACAGACAGTCAAAAAGGCAAAGAGCAGCCTAGGAACGGGGACAGAGGAAAAGACAGAAGTCACCATAATGCTACAGTGCTAAAGTGTCGTGGGTGGGAATATCCCCACCACTTCGTGCAGTTTTGGTCAATTTGTCTCACAAACGACAGCCATTATAGTTAAAAGTCTGGGAGTTCTCCAGCACGAGAATGACTGAAGAGCCAAGGATACTTCAGCTGGAGAAGAGATGATTCACATGAGGAGGAGGACAAAATCACAGATGCAGTCAAGAAAGTAATGGGGAAACAGTGATTTACTGTGCCCAGGTTATGGGGGCATCAAATATAACTATCTAGCAGTGGATCTAATGTAGATACAATGGATCATTTCTTCACACAAAACATAAATTAAACTGCAAACCCATTGCCAGAGGGTATCTGGAGCCCAACCATGGTGGGACAAAGTCTCCTATGGCAAATTGAACATAAAGAAGCACCTACAACATATAGCCCTGGAGGTTCTGAAACCTCTGATCCTTGCACACAAGACTGTTGAACTGTAAAACCTGCCACTGGGCAAGAACACACCCTCTTTCCTGTGTCATCCTGAGACCCCCCTGGATCTTTGGCTTTACTCAGTAACTATTCTCATCCTTTGAATCTAGCTTTCCCGTCTGCAGGGAGAGCAACCTAAACACCTACTACACTAGCTATAGTACCAGGCTGCAGTACATCCAGTGGCAGACCTCCTGATTTTCTCCTGTGGAAATGTTTCTGACCACCGTTGAGCAAATTCCACAAAGAGAGACTGTTTCTTTTAGTCCAGAATGTCATGTGCTTACTGGGAGAACAGAGAATCAGATATAAGACCCCGTTCAACAGAATAATTATCTTCCAGAACTCAAGAAGTTTCAGCTATAGAGACATCTATAGAAAGAGAGCACATCACACACCCAAACCCCTTCCCCAGAACAGCAGAGGGAGGAACAGAGAACTGAATCTGTGTTTTGAGCAATATCCTGACTCTGGGGAATTAAGATGTTCCTCCAGTGGTGGAGTCCCATCCAGCTGACACATACTCCGTTTTACCCACTCAAAAATTTAAGTGGTCTCAGTTATCTAATCCCTACCCCTGCAGTCAATGGAGATGGACAGATGTTTTCAGGCAAGGATCCACTCTGTTGTTCTTAGATATGTGTCTTAGGGTGGTCAAAATGCTACCAGACACTGGTCTCCATATTGTTTATGTAGAAACTCTACATAACCAGTTTCAACCAGGTACTTCAATTTTTCACTGCCAGAGTTTGATAAGGTGAGACCTCCACCCTTGGAGATGATGAAGTCAGAAGCAGAGGAGAAGGTGCAGCTTGGAGTAACAGCAATGATGAGGACACTGGTGGACTGAGGTTCCAGCATGTGCTTACTGGGAGATGGAAAAGAGAGAGAAAGGAGAGGGAGAGCAGTGTTCAAGGAGACCTGGTGGAAGGAGAATAAAGTATTGCCAGGGCACCAAATTCACAGAAATATCAAAACAGTCTGTCCTGGGGAGTTGCACTGTTTGTGAAGGATAATATGATGTGCAACAGCGTGAAGAGAGGGACTCTTTATTAGGGATTGTAGTGATGGGATGAGGGGTAATGATTTTAGACTGAAGGAGGGGAGATTTAGATTAGATACAAGAAAGAAATTCTTTGGTGTGAGGGTGGTGAGAGCCTGGCCCAGGGTGCCCAGAGAAGCTGTGGCTGCCCCATCCCTGGAGGGGTTCAAGGCCAGGTTGGAGGGGGCTTGGAGCCACCTGGTCTGGTGGGAGATGTCCCTGCCCAGAGCAGGGGGGTTGGAACTGGGTGCTCTTTAAGGTCCCTTCCAACTCTAACCATTCTGTGGTTCTATGAAAATCCCGTGGGAAAGGTCCGTAGGTGGAAAACTCATGAGTCTAGTAATAAAAATCTAGTACAGGATCAGTGATCCTGATGTTCTGATCGGAAGAGTGATGGTGATCAGACAATATTAACTGAGATTACAGAGGCTTCAAAATTAGGGCAGGCAGGGGGAGATTTTGTCCACTCATAGACATACTACGTTAATGCTTCACTGGGATGAGCTGTGGAGAAAAACTTTTTGGAAGCAATAAATGATTACTTGCCAGAATTAATTAGTCTAAATTGTTTGACCCACAAGAAAAAGATGCTATTCAGGATGTGGTCTGGAATGATGCATAAGACTCAGTTCCAGAGGCAGAAGTGGTAGAGCCCAATAATGCTCACACACAATTTTAACTCTGCAGTGAGAGAGTGCAACCTAAATAAATGCAGCACCTGGATACTCATTTTCAAGAAAGGTAATTATGTAAAAATGCAGCAATTAGTCAAAAAGAGCTGAAAAAGAGAAGTCAAAAAATCCCAAGATGACTATGGCTTGTAGATTGTTCAAAAATGCTGTACTGGCAGTTCAGAAATTGGTGGGCCCGTTTGAGACCTATGGGTCAAAAGGGGCATTCAGTGATGGCAAGACCGTAGCAGAGAACCCCAGTGAATTTTTTGCATCCATTGCTAATGCTGGTGACACTGAGCCATGTTTCACTCCTGTGAGCCAGGGCCATACTGCCAAGACTGCTTTGTTGAGGGACTGGGATGTTTCCAATGTGATGACACCTACAGAGAGGGCTCTGGATGTAATCTTGAGGCCCACATAGTACTGGAGCTGATCTCCACCCTGGGACATGGCAGAGTGCCCTATGAGGAACAAGATCACTGATGGCACAGTCTCATGGAAGAAGGTGCATGGGGCTACTGTAAAAGCAAGCCCTTGCCTCACAGGCCCGCTGGACTTTGGTGAGGGAGCCAGTGAGCACATGGATAAAGGGACCAGTCAACTACGGATTTTGGGGTTTTCAAACTGCCTTTGACAAGGTTCTACACCAAATCCTTTTAAGAAACTAAGTTGCTATGGGACAAAGGTCTTGTTATGGGCCGAGACCTGGTGAAAGCATAGGATGCAAAGGGTAGGGCTTAATGGTCATTTTTGAACCTGGGTAGGACACAGCAGTGAGGCCCCAGAGACTGGTCCTGGGACTGGTTTCCATCCTATGAGTGACTTCAGGCATGGAGGGGTGCAGTGAAATCCCCAGGTTTTCAGAGCATCCTCAGTTCCTTCAGGTGGTTGAGTACCACACTGAAGGTGAGGAAATCCAGAAGGACCTCACAGAACTGAGCAAGTGGACAGATACGTGGCAGATGAACTTCAGTGTAGGAAAATGTGGTGTACCCAACAGGAAAAATTATCTCTATCAGGCCTGTGTGAAGCTGAACCTGGAACAGTTCAGGAAGGAGCTCAGAATCATCACCATCAATTCTCTGAAATCATCAGCTCAGTGTGCAATGGCAGCTAAAAAATTCAACAAATGTTGGCTGCTGTCAGCAAGGTGATAATAACGAAGCAGAGGGCATTGTTTTGACCTTCTGTAACACCTTGATGCAACCACATCCTGGGGGCTGCATGCAGTTCTGCTCTCTGTATCTCAAGAAGGACATGGTGAGGTTAGAGAGGATGTGGAGAAGATTATTAAAATGAGTGAATGATGCAGCAGCTGCTGTAGGAGGAGAGACTGGAAAAGCCGAGGCCTTCACTTTAGATAAGAGAAGGGCAGGGAAGGTGGATGAATGTAGCATGGCTGTTTTACCCACCTGCAGCACTAGAACTAGGAGCACTTTATCAAATTAGTAGGAGACTGCTTTAAAACAGACAATAAGTTAGAGCAAATTAACAGACAACAAGTAGCGAAGGGAATATGTAGGGCTGTATGCAATGACTTCATGTGCTGAGGGAGGACAAGGGGGACAGACCTCAGATGGCCGTTTGGGCTGCTCTCACTAAACAGCATCAGCTGGAGGCAGAATCTAGGCTAGGTGGGGCATCATCTGACCTGGTAGAAGATTCCTTACATTTTTAAGACCTGAAAGAGATACTCATAGGCAGATGTGTCCAGGAAGCATCAATGTTGGCAGAGAAGCAGTTGATGCTGTCTGAAGGCTAACCAGCAAGGTAAGAGCAAGAGGATGGAGTAGAAGAAGGTAAATCACCAAAATAAAACCTGACATTTGTAAGAGGAAATGAAGAGGAAAAGCAGTGTATCATTATCATGAAAAAAAAAAAAGAACCAAAACCCAGCTACATTATTCACTATTTGGTAAAGAATCTTTTCTCAGTGTCATCAGTCTTTGTCACAGTAGTTACTACTTTTTCTTACCTGTATGTACCAGCAAGAACTTGGTCACAATCAATCAGGATAAACTTCTCCAGAACCTGGCCTGCAAATTTCTTGCCTGCTTTGCTGTAGTAGGTGTCTCCACTCAGACATCTTATGCGCATGTTCTGAAACCAAAGGAAGCAGAGTCAGTAAGGGGACACGTGTTGAACTAAGCTGAAATTCCCTTAGGCATCACTGATGGACTACCTCAGGCAGGAGCTCTGCTCCCTGAGGTAGAATGCAGCAAGGCATTAAGTGTTTCTTGGCTTCTACGTACCAAATATTTTGTCGCACTGTCTGCTTCTGTAAGATAAAAATACCAGCAAATATTAACAAGTTGCACTTAAGTACAAATGCTGGTTTGAAAAAATTTTGGAGAATCTTATGACCCTACAGATCATTGCTGAAGTATGTAAGACTATGCAATTTCTTCCAGATTATTGATAATATTCAACTAACCCCACTAGCAGATGGTTCTTCATTTAAACTGAATTTCGACCCATAACTACTAGCCGGTTTCTTATCAATCGAATGTGCTGTTCTCATTTTATACAGTGACAGGCTTCTTAAAACTAAAATATTGCTCAATAAAAAGGATTTACAGAAAGGTATGTCTACGTTTTAAGAATTACCTCTTATATGTTTATTTAAAAGTGATATGAAAATTTTCAGCTGCTGTAATCCAGTGAAACGGGCCCTATCCTCCTCTGTTTTAAAGACTGCAAAGAGCTTCTCTGATACCACTTTGGCTGTAAAACCGACTGCCCAGTGCAAAATGGGAACTCTGGCTCTCAGTATCCATCAGGAGCCTTTCTTGTAATGTGAGGGCTTTGCCCATAGTAAAAGCTATTTTCACCTCAGCTGGGGAAGGCAGAAGAGGAGAACAGTCACTGGAAACAGCTCCTGGCCTGGTCTGTAGGACACAGTGCCAAAGAAAACATCTCCTGTGTAAATGAACATCCCCGAGGCTGCACCTTGGCTGTCCCACCAGGCCATCCCTGGCTGTCCCTCCAGGCCACCTCCCCAGCCACTGGAGGTGGCTTTGGCACACCAGGAGCTGTCACAAACTGTCACCGCCTGCCTGTGCCTGGCAGATCCTTCTGTGGGCAGCTGGTCCCAGCCTGGTGCCAGCCCCACAGAAGACGAAGGCCCACAGCAGTTGGGTTGGGCAACACAGGTGGCGGGGGCCATTGTGCCCCTTGGCAGAGGTGGTGCTGCCCATGGTGGCACCTGGTGGAGGTGGCAGCGTCCCCCCCGCCACACAACAGACCTCAGCCCGGCCAGCCCCAGCTGTTTGTAACAGCCAGCGTGAAAGACAAGCACAAATAGTTGTGATTTGCCTACAGGTGTTCTCCGCAGGGTGCAGACCCCTCTATCATCGCATGCCCTCCTTCTCCCCAGCAGGCTGAGTGTGCATGGCCTCCCCAGGCTGCCCCCACACAGCCAGGGACCAGCTCGCCCAGTCCCCGGCCTCACGTGGGGTTCAGGGTGCAGAAGTCATGCCTCGGGGGTGAGGAGCAGGAGGCAGTCACCCTGTGGCAGGGTGACTCCATTCCTGACAGCTCTGCTCCTCTGTCAGAGCCCTGCAGGCAGGAGGTGGGCTTCCCGGAAACATCCGCCATGAGCTGTGGCAGTGGGGTGGGAAAGGCTCGACTCTCACATCATGCTGAGGAAGACTCCCTGCCCACCCAAGGGCCACCATTGCCTTCAGGGCGTCAGAACAGCAACAAATCTCCTCCAGGCCAGGGTCCTTCTGACCCAACAGTTTATCTCTCACAGTGGGCAATGGCAGTTGGGGAAGAGCAGGAAAAAGGGACTTATTTATGATGCTGCCCCCTAATATTCCTGATGACTCTGTTTTCTGCTCAGGGGATTTCCTGAGCCTCTTGTGGTTTTTCTTAGTGGGAACCCCCCCCCAGACCTCTTCTCCAAGTACTTGTCCTGTATTCTCTTTAGGTCATGGAAATTTTTAGCAGGGACAGAGCTGAAGCTCCACAATCTTTGCACTGTGGCTCTTCCTTGTTCCCTTCTTCTGTCCCAGAACACATCCTGATCTGTCACCTGTGAGAAGGGAGAAACTTTTTCCACATAAGGGCAGTTATTCATTGGAAGAAGTTGCCCAGAGAGGTTGTGCAGTCTCCACACTCGGAGATTTTCAAGACTAGACCAGTTAAGGCCCTGAGAACATGTCTGACCTCACAGGGGATACTGCTTTGAGCAGGAGGTTGGTCTTGATGACTTCCTGAGGTCCCTGCTAACTTGCATTAATCTGCGATCCTCTGAAATGCCACCACAAGTTCCTGATATAGGGCAAGATAAGCTGGATGCTTGGGGAGTTGTTCGCATAATCCTCTTGCCAATCAACATGGATTTTTTTCTTCCAGTGCTGAGGTTTTAGTAATCCTTGCTCTCACTGGGAGGAGCCTCCTCTCCCCCCAGGGAAGTTAAAATCACTTCAAGTAAGGGATATCCCATAGATTCGTCACCACAGTATTTCTTCACTCCCCCTATTCTTTCCAAGGCTGGGTGTTTTTCTGATAGCTGGCTCATTTTTTCCATCCTCTTCTTACTCTTGGCAATGCAGGCCCTGAGTTGTCCAAACAAGATGAGAATCCTGCTGTGTTGCAGGAAACCAGGCTGCCAGGAACCATTCTCACTTGATTTAGACAGTAGTTTTAGGTTCAGAAGGCGGCCTTTTGAAAATCCAATAGCAAAGTCTTCTTGGTGACCGCTGCTCGATGCGGCACTGTGGGATTTGCAGACGTTCAGCACCAGGGTTTGACACCAGCGGGCTCACACAAATGTTCTTAGAAGTAAGATGCTGGAGGGCCAATTGTCCCAAACTCCCCATTAAACCCCAAATTGTCCCCAATTATTCCAAATGGAGATTTACCATCGCATCCTGTCGCAACTCAGAACCAGGAATAAAATACGCACACTCACTCCACTTAGATGTGGATATCAAGCACGTATGTTAATGCGCTGCTTGAGATGCATCCGCTTAAGGGGCACTTCACATTGAGACCTGCTGCTGAGTCACTGGCTGGGGGAGGCAAGTGTTATATAGCCATTAAAGCACAAGACATGACAACAGGTCTAACAAAGAGATGTAGACATCTCCATAGTTGTAAACTCATTCTAATTTTAATTAAAAACAACAGCCAGGCTCTTGGATAAGCAGTAAATAAAATACATTTTGGAGAGATGAAATTTGTCTGGGCCCACCAGGTGACTTCAGCGATGCAGTTGCTTGTGAAAGCAAACATGCTCCAGCGTGAAGCAGTTTTCCCTAACAGTTGCCATCTCAAGAGGCAGGATGAAATGGGTCTGGCTTGTGAGAAGCAAGAAAGCACAAAGCACCACCAACACAGGGGGAAAAGGAAGCCCCTCTTTGTGTAGAGAGGCTAAAAATGAGGGGAAATTAAGACATTTGTAACTGCATCTATTTTGAATGCTATAAAACACTACTTTTGCATTTTCCCCAGCCTGTTTTTAGTTAAGAATGGTTTTGAGGTAACGGGATAACCTCCAAGCATTCCCCACTGAGAGGAAGGGAAAACCCATGAAATTGGTGGCTGGAAGGGAGTCCCCCAGGGAATCCCATGCACCCAGTGCAGAGGCACAGCCAGGACTGCTGACCTTGCAGACTCGCAAAAGACAACAAAAAACCCAACTTCCATTGATAGGTGGTAGCCAAAAAGACTATATGGGGAGCAGCAAGATACTGGGGTGTATTTCTGAGTCTGGAAGTTCCCAAGAGAACTTGTTGCACCCGCACATTAATTTTTGTGGTTTGCCTGCTCTGGGCACCCCCCTCCTATTGCTGATGGGCACCCTACAGCATGGGGAATTGGGTTCTTCACAAACCCCTTATGAACCCACAACTGAATCGCAGAGCTGAAAAGCAGATCTTAACGTGCCATTTTAAACATGTGGTTTTACATCGAGACAGGGCAGCAGGGCTGGGGGAAATGGTAGGTTTGGCATCAGGACACCCAAAGGGACTCACTGCTTCCCTTCCCCACCCAGCTACTGCCCAACACCAGCTCTGGCCAGACTCTAAACTGGGCTCAGGGATCTGAACTATGTGCAATTCTGTGTCCTAGAGCAGGGGCTGAAGGGAAAAGAAACAGAAATGCTACAGGTTCATATGAACGTAAGTTTTCAACCTCTGTTCATCTGCCCCAGCCCAGCAAAGCGTTCTGTAACACACTGCATCGTACTGGCCTCCCCTGCACACTGCTTGTGTGTAAAACTGAAACAAGGACCACAAAACATCATGATACTGGACTGGGAGGCCCTTCCAGTCCTTCCCCTGTGCTTCCAGACAGATCTTGATTTCCTAGACCAAACAGCTGTGGTCTCTTAACCTGGGGCGGTGGGAGAAGGTCCCCAGGACCAGGCAGAGGAAACAGAACAAACAGTACATGGTTTTTACCAATTCCAAGACCTGTTTATCATATCCACTGTGGGACTGAAAACTTACTGGGAAGCTGTCCTGAGTAAGAGCCATTTTATTGCACATTTCCACAAAATGCTTCAAGTACTCTTCATCCAGGATCAGGTAAATGGGTACGTGCCGGGCACAGCCAGGACTGCTGACCTTGCAGACTCGCAAAAGACAACAAAAAACCCAACTTCCATTGATAGGTGGTAGCCAAAAAGACTATATGGGGAGCAGCAAGATACTGGGGTGTATTTCTGAGTCTGGAAGTTCCCAAGAGAACTTGTTGCACCCGCACATTAATTTTTGTGGTTTGCCTGCTCTGGGCACCCCCCTCCTATTGCTGATGGGCACCCTACAGCATGGGGAATTGGGTTCTTCACAAACCCCTTATGAACCCACAACTGAATCGCAGAGCTGAAAAGCAGATCTTAACGTGCCATTTTAAACATGTGGTTTTACATCGAGACAGGGCAGCAGGGCTGGGGGAAATGGTAGGTTTGGCATCAGGACACCCAAAGGGACTCACTGCTTCCCTTCCCCACCCAGCTACTGCCCAACACCAGCTCTGGCCAGACTCTAAACTGGGCTCAGGGATCTGAACTATGTGCAATTCTGTGTCCTAGAGCAGGGGCTGAAGGGAAAAGAAACAGAAATGCTACAGGTTCATATGAACGTAAGTTTTCAACCTCTGTTCATCTGCCCCAGCCCAGCAAAGCGTTCTGTAACACACTGCATCGTACCGGCCTCCCCTGCACCCTGCTCATGTGTAAAACTGAAACAAGGACCACAAAACATCATGATACTGGACTGGGAGGCCCTTCCAGTCCTTCCCCTGTGCTTCCAGACAGATCTTGATTTCCTAGACCAAACAGCTGTGGTCTCTTAACCTGGGGCGGTGGGAGAAGGTCCCCAGGACCAGGCAGAGGAAACAGAACAAACAGTACATGGTTTTTACCAATTCCAAGACCTGTTTATCATATCCACTGTGGGACTGAAAACTTACTGGGAAGCTGTCCTGAGTAAGAGCCATTTTATTGCACATTTCCACAAAATGCTTCAAGTACTCTTCATCCAGGATCAGGTAAATGGGTACGTGCCGTCTGCTCGAGGCCTCCAGCAGGTCACACAGTATCTCCATGTCTGTGAACAGATCCATCACAATTGCTATCACCTGGGCAGGAGAAAAGAGGTGGAGGGGGAAAAAAACAAGAGACTGTTGTAATCTAAGCCCAAGTGAATTGTGCATTAAACTATGAATTAAGTATTCAAACCTCCTGAGTTCCTGAGTGTCTATGGCCACATAAGTGGACGTTGCTTCTGGACCTTTGTGTTTCACAGCCTTTACTCTGGCATGGCAGGAAAAAAATCACTTTTATTAACTATGAAGACATTCCCTACCCATCTCCCTCCTGTCTCCTCTGTTATTCACAGAAAGAAATAGCTGAAAGGTTAATGCACGTGCAGAAACTCTGAACGTCACTGGTGCAACAACTATGTGTTGCCTTAAGCAAATATGCCAGAAATACAGCATATAAGCAGAAGAGCCCAGGCTGACCAAAATAGTTATTCAGTTGGTATGAGTGATGACTAGCATATTAATATAAAGTAGTATCATATTTTTGAGGAAGGACACAGTGCCAGGTAAGGGAGAAGGCATCTTGATCAAGTACGTACATGTCTTCATTCCAAGATTACATCCCAAGGGCAACTAGACAAAATCATAGAATAACGTGTGTGGGAAGGATCCCTTCCCTTTCCCTGCTGGCAGCGCTCCTGCTAACGCAGCCCAGCGTGCAAGTGATAGTTATGAAACCCAACAGCAGAGAGAAGGAATAACGCTAACATTATTTAAAAAAAAAAAAAAAATCAATAAAATCTAGCTCAGAAAAATAAAGACTTGCAAGATGAGGTCTCCAAGGGAGGAGGTTTAAAAAGGAAAAACATTTTAAACAGAACTGCCAGTTCTTTAGAGAATGAGATTGAGGGAGGCCATGGCAACCCATCCCACTGTGGAAAGGGGATGGGAGGCAGCAGACCTTCTTGGCTAAATGAATTCTCCAAAAACTGGAAGGAAAATACAGAAAATGGAAGGTAGATCATGGAAAGTACCTACAAGTGAGTTGACTCAGAACAAGAAAAGTCAAAGTACAGTATGACCTGCAACCTGAACAACGAATGCAAATGGACAAGATTTCTTGGCTCTGTATGATTTGTCCCCAAAGACCATCTCTGTGATGGTGCCTTACACACTGTCATTGGTCTCCTCAACACCTTGCAGAAGATTCCAGGGCCTGGCCACCATAGCAGGGTTTGGGAAAACCTTCCTGGAGGCTGGTGTGATCCCAGGCATCCATGTGGGACACAAGGCAGCTGTCAACAAGAGCTAAAAGTCATTCCTACTGTCCAGGCCAAAACCACATCTCCACCCTCTCACCCTGGCTCTGGGAGATACAGGCCTCAGAGTCTGACTCCTAAAGGCATCTCTTTTGTATTCTTCATGAGTGGTGTCTTCCAGCAGCCTTATGAGACTCTTTTCCCCTCCTGAAACGTGCCCATCTGGCATAGACAGCAGAGTCAGCCCTGGAATTGCTCTGGAAGCAGCGGGAAGCATTTTTAACTTCCCAAATTCATTTTGCCACTGGGCTATCAGCGTTAGGTACCACCAAGACCCACACAAAAAAGCAGGACTTCACCATGTCTTTCCACATTGGCCTCTGGCCAAAAACAAAAGGCAGTTCAGCCAAATGACCTTGATGGGTCACCCATTCTCTAATGATGAAGCACCAAGAAAAATCTATAGCCTGAGTCTTGTGTAAGACCTCAGGCAAGTCCCTCTCAGCCACACTTGCCTCACGATACTCCTGCTCATCTCAGGCATAGGTCTGAGCCCGGCTTGGCCCTGGAGACAATCTAAACTTGGCTTGGGAAGTCAATACAATGAAGTCAAGAGACACTTCACTGATGCTCCTTTGTCCCATGCTCACATGCTCACATGCCCCACATGCTCAGAGGCACTGCTTGTGCTGATCTCCTTTGTCCCCAGACCCCACATGCTCAGAGGCACTGCTTGTGCTGAAGTGCACAGAAGGTCCTCACCATCTCAGTTTCCTCTACCAGTGCTCACAGGCTCCAGCAGAGTTCGGGGCTCCTGTTTGCCCCACAACGGCACTGCCAGTCTGCAGTGCTGGCTGTCAGAGGCTGGGCAGGCAGTAGCCACGGCTGTGCATGGCAGGAGGTGGCACAGAGTCAGCCCTGGGCTGGTTGTTGCTGGCTGCCAGGCAGACCTGCACCTCCTGGCAGCCTGGTGGCAGGGCTCTGGCGTCGGAGCAGGCGCCCCAGGCAGCGGGACGCCAGCTTGTGCAAGCCGGGTGGAGCCTGGCATGAGAGTCAGACTCATGTTTTCCAAAGCGGGTCTTTGCTTGGCATCAGAAAGTGGAACAGGCTATAGCTCTACTCGCTTCCCTCACACGTGAAGCTTCCCTCGCATGCGATCCCTTCACAGGAGGGAATTGGGTAGAGTTGCTCCCGGCGGGCAAGCACCCATAGCAATGTTGGGTGAGAAGGCTGGCAGCCCCACGGGCACTGCAGTGGGGAGAGAGGGAAGGCTGTGCCCTCCCACCCTGGAGATGCAGGCACCCACGGTGGGGCAGGCTGTTACAGGCGTGGGTGCCACAGGACAACTGTAAGAGCTGCTCAGATCACCGTATCAGAGCAGCTCTTACAGTAACATCAGCTGCACCCCAAAGCCAAGAAGTTTTGGGGTGAAAAAAGACCCTGAAATTTTTTTCCTTGCAGCCTCCCAAGAACCTGAAGAACCAAGAATCCAGACCACAAAAGTGAGGTCTAAATCCTCAAAGACAATTTCCAACAGCATTCCAAAGATAATTCTCCAACAGTACTATCTCCAGTTCAGGCTCCTGACAACCCGTGTCTCACATTTAAAAGCCTTGGGCATTTAAGTCAACGCGGCCCAACAAACCTAAGCAATGTATGCCCAGTGCCTCCAGCCCCTTGGCATCAGTGGTGAGAGCTGCAAGTCTGGGGCTGGCTCAGAGCATCCCCGTTCCTCACCACACTGATCACAGCCTCCAAGCCCACGGCACAGCCTCAATGGGTCAGGCCCCTGCAAAGACACAGCCGCCCCACAGGCTCCAGAAAGCTCACCCCTGGCCGTGGCAGGGTTAAAGCATGACATTTCTAAATCTACTTCTGCAAACTCACAATTCAGCAATTGCTGCAGTCATCACTTTGGGAATTACAGCACTTACCAGCACCCACTGGGGTTGCCATCTGTCTGGTTTCTAACCAGCACAGCTGGTTTTACTGGTATTTGCCAATAGCAGTGTGGTTTTGGTCATTACCGTAATGTTGCCATTTGAAGTGACACATTGCTTCTCTGGGGGACCACGGGCGACCCTTCTGCCACGGCACGTAAACCCAGGCAGTGTCAGAGTCGTACGAGAGGGGCGAAAGGAGCAGCATGGACAACTGACAATAGATCTGAGCTCATCCAGCAACAGTAAAATTGCAATAGTATTATCAAATGAAGGCTAAGGTGTGGCTGCGCTGCATCTCCTTATGTCTGCAAAGAGAAAAGCTCAAATCTGAAAATACATCTTCAAAGACAGCTGGTTAAATATGGCTGAAGCAGAAAGACGAACCGCGCCAGCAACAGGTACCAATAAAGCAAAGGCACCTTTTTGCTGATTTGTCAGTACGAATACGCTGTTGCAAAACACGTCGGCTGATGTTGTTCTGTGTGACTGTGCAGGAGAAAACAGGCAAACAGCATTTCGAGCCGCACACCTTCCTGTCTACAGGGCCCAGGAAAAGCATTCAGGGATCTCAACCCCTTTCCCGTGTCCCACCAGCATCCATCCCCCTCCCATGCTGGCTGTCAGCGCGCAGGAGGAAGGCGCTGCCGGGGGATGTGTGATGAGAGCTTGAAGTCTAGTAGGGAAAACATTTGAGATGCAGAGACAGCAGCTGAAAAGCTAAAAAGCAAGCGGTTCTCCACACAGCTGCCACTGGCCCTTCAAGAAACGATGTTTTTACCTCTGGTTGGTTTTTAGTCACTAAAAGGCATACAGGGAACATCCCTTTGGATGGTTTGATGAGCAAAATGACTCAGTAACTACTTAAAGACATGTAAGTGCGGTTGTGAATGAGCTCGAACTGCCATCAGTGATAGAGCTAATCATGGGAAACACTGGCCAGAGCTGCTAATCTAGAAGCCAGCAAAACACCAGTAATAAACCAATAAGATGGTTGAAAACTCCTTCTCACGTTTCACACAACAGTCAAAAACATTGCGTGAAAATCCCCACCTTGAACACAACGGGCTGACCATTGTCAGTGCTTTTTCAAGCCAATCAAAAAAAAAAAAAAGAGCAGAAAGCTCATTATGTACTTAAAAGTCCAATAAAACACCTGCTGCCTGGGCCACCTCCCTGTGGCAACAGAAAAGCCCCTGTAAAGTGAGAAAGCAGCAAGGTATTTGTTGTGTGGTTTAAAGGATCCTAATATAACCAGAGATCCGGGACACGTGTCGAGTGACAACGGGATGTTTCTTCGTAGTCATTTACTTTGTGGATTCTGCCACAACTACGCCTTACTCCCTGTTGCTGAAAAGTGATACAGATTACTTACAGTAAGTGTCACAGGGCTTTCCTCATCATTTAAGGTAGCATAAATCAGCTGTCTGCAAGGACAAACAAAGCTTTTTGTCACTTACTTACTTCCTGGACAAAACTTCCTGTGTTTGCCTACAAAGGTGCAAGAGAAGTTCAGGCATTAGGCAACGGCTGCTTCCAACCCAGCAGTAGCTTATGGGGCAAAATGCTCTTTTTTTGGACAAAAGAAAAAAAGGATCCCCATTTACTTCATATCACACCCAAATTTCAAGGGTGTGTGGTTCTGTGATGCTGTTGTGACACTGCAGAGCAATCTGAGCTGCCACACAGCCCTGCTCTCTTCTGCTGGGGACAACATAACTTTGCTCAGCCCTACAGATGATGACAGAAGATATCACTCCAGCTCCGTCTGCCCGGAGCAGCTGAAATCCAGGCTTAACCATTTGGTATCTCCCAGCTTCTGCACTTGGCAGTCATGGATTTAAGGAGCATTGGCAAAGTTAAATGAGAAACTACAGGAGCAATAAGAGACGCTGCCTAGAAGCTGACTGGTTAAAAGTGAACTTTGCACTGTATGTTCACTCGGTATCTCCACCGAGATACCACATGAAACAAAATACTACAGGAAATTAACACGGAACAGATGGAAATAACCATGAAGAGGACAAAGACAATAAAAGCTGAAAATGTTGTCCGAGCTGCGGCTTTAGTACACAGTGGAGTGGCAAAGTGAAAAGAAACAAGAAGGAGCGTAACTGAGTGAGTAAAACCAGGCCAGCACGGTGCTGGGTAGGCACAATGTAGTCATCCAGTTTTTATTACATCTGGGGGTTTGCAATCTCTACCCAGCAGAAACTGTGCAATGGGATGAAATGGGCTGATCTTACTCATCCTCAGAGAGGCACAGACACGGAGTCTGGAGGATAGGATGATGTGTGCCAGCCCACTGCAAACCACCGCCAGGGATTCTCAGTCCGGCAGGTTTACTCAGGTCCTGCATTCTCCCGCTTTCCACCCAGTGGTACCCTCTTCTCCTGCTTAACATGATGCCTGGGGCTCGAGAAAAGCCCTGGCTGTGCAGACTTCCTGGCAGAGAGCAGATGGGCTGGCTGGGGGACACTTGCCAGCTGGGGGACACAAGCCCTAACGCTGCCCACCCCGCTCCAGGCTGCGGTACCTGCAAACACAGACACTGAGCACCTCGCAGGGCACTGCCTGGGTGACATTCTCCCAGGCAGAAAGAAAAGACAGGAAAGGAAAGGAACAGGAACAGGAACAGGAACAGTTACAGGTCAGCTAGAGAAACAGCAATCACACCATGACATCTAGGGAGCAGCAACAGCCTGGAGGCCGTGGTGAGAAGCTTTGGGACCAGCCACCAGGACACCACTCCAGGGACACAGCTCGATACGTACCGTCCGTGCCCGGCTGATCAGAGACCGGAGCAAATCCTTAATGCTGTTGGCTTTGTTTCTTTGGAAAATCACGGTGGCTTGAGTCTGGCCGGACATTGTGAGGAGCGGCGTCCCCGGCCACCCCAGCTCCAGCTCCGGAGGGTGCACGTCAGACATGAGAGGAAAGTAGGTGCCAGAGGTCAGTTCAGAGTTGAGGGAGGACCTGTCTCCAGCATCTGCATCGCCAGGGTCGGCCTCTTTGTCTCTCATGGTGCTAGGATCTGGAACGCTTTGGTTTCTCTGATGGCTGATATATTCCATGTCCAGGGTGGAAAGGAAAGGCAGCTCCCTCTCCTCAGTGATGGCACTCATGTAGCCACGTTCCCCCTGCTCGAGAAAGGCGTCGATGGCCAGCCGGGCTGTTTCACTGTGCTGGAGCACCAGTGGGGTGGTTTCCCTCCACCACGGCTTCTTCAGCTGCTCCAGGCGGCTCTTCAGTGGCCCGGACACCCCTTGCTGGCTTCCATAGCTGCGGTGGAACTGGGGTCTCACCTCTACTGCCAGGTAGTTGAACATGACCGGAGCTGCTGATGACAAGAAGTGCCTCTCCAGCTGGATTAGTCCTCTGTCCGACTCCAGGTCCTTGCTGGCCCTCTTGCGCTCCTGAGCTCCTCCCAACAGGTTCCCTCAGGACTCAGCATGAGCTCCACTCCTCCGCTCCGGAGTTAATCACCAGGTACAGCCTCCCATTCCGGGGGAGGAGCTGGCTTTCCGGCACTCGGCTTCCTCGGAAACACACCTGACACTTGGGGCTTAGAATATCCCTTTTGCAAGGGGAGGAAGATTAGCTCCTCAAGCTGCTCCTTCTCTTTCCCTGTAACTGATTCACGGACTGCCCTCCCCTCCCAAGAGGTCCCCACCCTTGGCCAAGCAGGCTCTAACCTGTTTTGTCCCTCATTGTGCTCACAGTGGAAATGCAGATGCTGAAACTTGTTCCTGCTTGAAATTTGTTCCAAATCAAACACGCTTCTCAGTGTCAGTTATAATGAAATACAAATATCCCAAGTGGATAATCAGACCCGGCCAACAAACTTATTCATCTTTGAGCCATAGCTAACGCTCCTCCTTGGCAGCCCGGGCTTTGCTGGACTGGCACCTGGCAAAAAAAGCCAAAACACTATCTTTTTTGATATCCCAGGGTAACAGTGTTGTGTGAAGCACAGCAGGGATCTTAGTGCAGCTCAGGTACCGCAGGGATCAAGAGCAATAACTGGTCTTTTAGCATCCCCCTGGAAATCCTTCAGGGAAGGGACATTCAAACTCATTAGCCTGGTGCTGTGTGAGCGACGATACTGTCCACGTGCTGTGTATTCTGGGCTGAGACACCTCCGGCTTCCCCAAAGCACCACAGAGCTATTTCTGGAGAAACAATACAGGCGGATGTTCATGTGTGATGTAAAGCGCCGTGTTTGGGACGCACCGCCCAGAACACACCACAGCACAGGAGAAATTGTGCAGAGGAGGCACTGGGGAGTCCCCAGCCTGCACCGCCGACCTTACCCTGGAGCTACTCAGCGCCACAGAGGCCAACCAGGGAATGAAGAACTGGCTGGAGAGTGGATCTAATCAGCCAGCCTTTTATCTGTAAGCTACAACCCCCCTGTAGATTAAATCCATCCAGGCTAAATTAAGTCGTCTCAAATCTAAATGTCTACTCTCTAATAGTCACTGGGCAATAGTCACTGGAGAGAGACAGCCATGGCCAGGTGTGAACCGGCACATTGAGACAACAACTTCTAACTCAGCTGGGATGAGTCACGTCCCCAAGGGACTGTCCCTCTCCACCAACTACAGCTGGAGCGGGGTGATCAGTTTAGATGAGCTGTCTGGTCTTTAGATCCCTGAAGTCAGAACGAGCCCTTGCTGGGACTGTGCAAACGGCAGGGACAGAAGCAAAGGCACGTTCAATCAGAAAATTTCAGTTGCCCACTGGAGCTGTGCTGCAAACACAGCAAGTGCAGAGTCAGCGGCTGTGGAGCGGAGATAGGGGACAAAATCAGAATAAAGCTGCGGGCACAGAAGTGTTACAGGTGTAAATACGTTAGAACAACATTAACTTAGGATGTGAGGCGAACAGCCAAACACAATGTAAAGAAATTTGGGGAAATAAACAAAGGGAAGGAGATAAAATATGATGGACCTTTTTCTGGAGCTGCTTTGCCAGGGTGGTAACCTCATCTTGGTGATAACATAAAAGAAGGGTAACATCACCCTACTTTTTGCCTTGCTAGAGAGCAGAAGAGTGTAAAAGTCATCAAATGCATGTTTTCTGCCAGATAACCAACTGCTGCTGATTCTGTAAAGCAAAAGGACCTCCACTGTCTCCAGCTGGTGTTTGGTAATTATCTACTCTCCCTCCAGTAATTTCTCATGGACCTCAGCACATGAAAGCACAAACGATGTAAACATCCCCCGCCAAGCTCGTTGGGCTGGGCCTCCCCAGTGTTGGTGGAGAGAGGCAGATTTCTAGGGAGCCAGTGGCCTCACCCTGCAGCAGCCGCCCGAAATAGGTCGGATGAAATGGGCCATGAAAGGGCTTATTTCTCTCCAGGGAGCAGGAGAGCTTGGGCTGCCCCAACCAGCAGCAGAGGTTGACCACGCAGACGTCTAAAAGGAGAGGAGAGGTATCCTGTCCCTGCCATCTGGCAAAGAGATAAGTGTCTTTAATTGGCACCCCCCAGACAGATTGCCAGCTCAGGATGTGGGAATTCCATCAGCTGGATTTTGCCAGCAAACAGCGAGGATCTTATCTGGGAGTGTTGTCTATGCACCTTGGGCAACCAGCAGAGAAAGACAAGGGGAAAATTCCCTCTGGCTCAACACACACCCCAGGTCCCACTTCCAAGTCAGTGGCCCCAGGCAGCTGTAATGCTGGCTGAGACCCCAGCTCAGGCAGGGTCCAAGCGTTAGGCAATACTGCATCCCTGTGTCCCACTACAGACCTTCTCGGAGCTTGCCAAACACAAACACCTTGCCTGGGCTTTCCACAAAATGTACCTGCTCCTTCCTCTTCAAGCCCAAATGGCAGGGACCTGCCAAGTGTTTCACCATAGCGCAGTTCTTGGGGAGCACTCACCTGGGGACACGAGAAGCCAGGTTTGCTTCCCCCCCCCCTGAAATCCACGTCTTCCACCACAAAACATCATAGTGCTCAAACATGGTCATCTATAGGCACGTTTCTGGAAGGCACCTGCACAGCAATGTTCAGACCTCACTGGCTGGATGTAAACAGCAAGTGAAGCTGGATGGGAAAAGTCCAAATTTTAGTTACTGCACTGAGATCTGACAGATTTTTCTGAATCAGGGCAGAGACAGCTTTGTCCCCTGGCAGCAGAAGGAGGGCACTGGGCACCAGTTGCCAGCTGTAACCAAACGATCTCTCTGATTGTGATGGCAGGGAAGGTGGACAACCCTTCCTCCCCCACTGACTCCCTGCTCAGGGCCATGCCTGGCACGTAGGTTCTTTCCAGTTGCTGCTCTGAGGTTCCCACCACCCACGTGCCATGTAGGGAAGCCAAGGTGGGGTGGCTCTGGTGGCCCTTCAAGGTCCTGAGCTGCTCGGGGTGCCAGTTCACAGCCATCATGAGAAGGACCATCATGTGTCTCTTCCCTCAGCTGCTCCCCTGCATTGAACATTGGGGAAAGCCCTTTCAGACCCTTCTTCCTTCTCTTCTTCCAAAGGAAACACACAGAAATACAAGTGGGCATTGTCACACCAGCGGCTCTCATTACCAGAGGAAGAGGGTATGAAGGGAAGGATGTGGGACAATGAGCAAATCCTGCTAAGATGCCTTCTTCGGCAGGATGTGGGGCAGCCCAGGAGGCTGGCAGGTGGGATGAGGCATGAACGAGCCCAGCTCACTCTTTTAGTCACTGACATAATCGTTAATGAAGGCTTTGCATACATGAGACTCTTTACTTCCTAAAAAAGCATGAGGGAGCTCTTCCCTCCCAGGAGAGCTGCAGTAACACACCAACACCAACCCGATCCAGCCTCAGCAACAGCTTGTAGGGTCCTCCTGCACAACCAGACATACCTGCACACGACAGTAAGAACAGGACAGTGGATATTTCTGGTTCCTGCACTTGGGTGCAGGAAATGGTTTACATCAGCCCGGCCCAGGCCCCTCAAGCAGATCCGTTGCCACTTGACCTGAACCCCCTGGCTGCTCCCAGCACGTCCCACCTGGAGCCACCACCAAAAGGCAGCAGCAGAGGCTGGAATCATGCTTGTGTGAGCTCCTGCTCTGCTTTCCCAGCCCAAGGATGAGGCCCAAACATCTCTCCTGTCCCACAAATGAGCAGAGCAAGCTGCTAAGCAGGTTGAATGACTGCAAGCAAAACAAGTACTCCCTCAACATGTTCAGCAGCTTTGGGAAGAACACATGTACGATGCACAGGGCAGCCCCAAACACCTGAAGAAGGGGCAGGGGTAAAAAAAAGCTCACTGGGAGTCTGGGAGGGATCATGAGGTTATTAATATGTGACTGCCCCGTCACAGCACAGGATGGGGCAGCACCCGTAGGCCATGCTCCCTTTGCAGGCAGAGAGGTGGATTCCTTACAAGCACAGTGCAATTGTCCCAGCAGCAGAGCCTACCTCTCACTCCTGTCGAGCCTCAGGGTCTTTCCCGTGTCCTTGCCAACTTTCCCAGGCTCCTGCATAAGCTTCTGCCTTCCCCTTGACTTCTCAGACCTGCAGGAAAAGACAGAGAGCGCTGAGGGGCAGGCTGGGCAGGCACAATATGCCCAAAAGATGGAGATATGGGTCCCTAAGGCATGTGGCAGAGGTACCATCACCCAGACTGCTGGAAGAGGTGTTCATCTCTCCATAGGACACCGACAGCCCAGCCAAGCCTGATGTTCAGCAGAAGGAACAGGGCACGGGTTTAACACAGTCTCTCATGGAGAAAAGAGCTTTGACTAGCATTTATTCACAAGAAGACAACAGAGACCAGACAAAGCAGGGCAGATGTGAAGAGGCCAAAGGGGAGGGCAGGAGCCTCTACAGGGTGGTGTCTACTAAGAAATTAGCTGCCACCAGCACCAGCCAAAACACCTCCATGTGCTGGGCCAAGGTCACAACCAAACACCTGCGCTGGGGCCTGAGAAACTGAAGAACATCACAACAGACAACCACTGTACTTGTGGCACAACTCTAACAGCAGAAGAAAGACACTCAGTAATTTCCAGGTATTAAGGTAAACATTTGTGACTCCCAACACTGGTATTTTCATCTTCCTGGAAAGCACACTCAGTCCAGCTGTGGAGCTCAAGACGGGCAGTGAATTGCTCAACATACCTGTGGAGGGGATTAAACTCCTCCAAACCCTCAAGCAGTGCTGGAGCACACCTCGGGGACACAGAGAACCTTTGCTAAATGCCCAGGATTAAACTGGTCCCATGGAAATGCCACAAGTAGAGTGTACCAGGCCTATGTTGGATTTCTGAAGGAAATTCAAAAAGGAAGGCGTTCTCTGCAGGGCTTTGGAAGTAGGAGAGTGTGGAAAAATGCTGAGAGTGGGTCACAGAGTACGGCGTGGCTTCCACTGCTCCTCACGTCGGTGTCACACAGCGGCAGACATCGCAGGGACCACGCTTGCAGAACCAGCCCCCATCCCTTCCCATGGCCTTGCTGTTCCACACCCACTCTACGTTCATACAATTTAAAGCTGGGGGGGGGGGGGGGAATTTCCTTT